AATCTAATTGATGACTCTCCAATTGGTTTCACTAAAAAGGCTATAACATCTGACCATATGTATTATTGATAAATATTGTTCACAAAAGGATGGTAGAGTGTTTGCCTGCTTTGTTGATCCAAGAAAGGCTTTTGACACTGTAATTCATACAGGATTACGACTTAATCTCCTAGAAATAGGGGTTAGTACTAAATTTTGTAATGTTATTAAGAATATGTATTCTGTAAGTAAATCTTGTATAAAAACAAGTAACACTGCTCGCACTGAACTGTTTGAAAGTAAATTGGGAGATAAGCAAGGCGACAATCTAAGTCCTAACTTCCTTTATCACTGAAACAAACATCGAACCCGATTATACTAAACTCTCGGCCTATACATTGTTTGATGTATGCAGATGATATTGTTCTGCTCTCCTCCTCATCACATGGACTTCAACAAAAACTAGATATTTTAGACAAGTTTTGCAAACAGTGGTGTCTTACTGTGAATTTATCTAAAACAAAAGTACTTATATTCGATAAGGCAAGCAGACATCTCAAAGATAATTTCAAATACAATGCAAAAATTGTTGAAGTTATAGCAAATGTAATTATCTTGGCATTACGTTCTGTTCATCTGGATATTTCTCCTATGCTCAAAATGAACTTTATCAGAAGGGTCTAAAAGCTTATTTTAAACTGTGTAAGGAATTTATTTCTCATTGTCCTTCACCCAAAATTTCATTATATGTATTCGATCACACAATTTTGCCAATATTATTATATGGTTGTGAAATTTGGGATTACTTTAATCCCTTTACGACAAGATGAAAAAAAACCCTGATTTGTCCTTTGGTGAAAGGACAAGGTTCACTTTAGGCCAAATATGGCCTTGAAATACAACTGTATCATAAAATATTAAAATGGCCATAATTTGATTCTTAAATGGACCTATTTCAAAAGCCTTACTACTACATTAAACACATCTCTTCATTAGAGTACATTCTAGGCTTCAAAGTCATCACATGTTGGATTTATTGTCAAAAAACGATGATTTTGTGCATTTTTCCGACCTAAAAGCTTGAGGAAACATTTGGCCGTAACCTAGGATCCAAAATGTTCTGTAGCCAAAAGTTGTCAACGATGATATTCAGGGGCGGATCCAGCCATTTATAAAAGGGGGGGGGGGGGGGGTTCCTAACCCAGGATAAAGGGCATTGATCGTCAAAAAAAAAGGGGGGTTCCAACCCCCGGACCCCCCCCCCCCCCCCCCCCCCCCCCCCCTGGATCCGCCACCAGTCAATGGTATTTGGTATGCATGTTTTATAGGAATTATCATTTTGTCACATCATGTTATTTGGCCCTGAACCTTCAGTCATGGTTCATCGACTGAATGTTATGCATAGTTTACATGTTTGAAAATTGCCATTTTGAATTCAACAGTTGCATTATACTATTTGTATAACAAAAAAGCGAGAGATATCTCTGTTTCAACAGTTTATTTCTATTTGAACTATAAAAAAAAATTCTACCAGATTCAAATATTTATTTACCAGAAAACTACTATCAAACTGCAATATGTTTCTATGTGTTTATTAACCCGTTTTTCTAACCATCTGTACTGCCTACTGAAGAGTCCCAAGTACAAATGGTAATTGTTTTAAATCCATGTAAAGGGACGAAACTCACAAGGCTTAAACAGACTAAGAATTTATCTTACATTGTTGAACATTAAAACTAGTTGGTAAAATAATAAAATTTTGTTATAGAAATAACAACTACTGTTGTCTAATGTATTTTTTTCTCAAATTTACAGTTGCATACTTCCTTTTCATTATTTGACACTTTTATGCAACAAGTTTGTTATTTATAAAACATAAATACATAACAAACTTCTGGAATGAAAAAGTAAATGAAAAAGGAGAGCAAGTGTTGATTTTTCACATAAAATTAGATCAGTGTTGTAATTCTTTTAACTTTAACTATGAAATTCTGCACTATCTTTTCCATTTTAAATTAAGTAAAAATATATAAAATTTCTTTTACTTTACATACTTTATCTTATTTGACTTCTAGAAATAAACAAAAAGCCTTGTGGGTCTAGGCACAAAACATGCTCACAGATGGCACTAAAATAGAGTGGACTATTATGTGAAGTATTGTCATCAATTTGACTCCATCTTCTTCAGTAGACCCAATGAGAAAGACATTCAAACCAAAGCATGCACAAATGCTACTAGGGTGGTGAACACCATACTAAACAAACATTGTAGATAAGCCTACAAATTCAATAAAAAATATCTGTAAGTTCTGCTAAAAAAGAGAACAAATATAGTAATACCTCCTTAATATTACTATTTGTATAAAGCATATCTTGCAAACTTCAGTATGAAAGTCACAAAGTACCATGAATCAAACCAAACTATTACTATCCACACTGATCTGTGTCCACACTTGTATCTTCAAAATATATATATTCAAATAAGGGAGTTACCATTTGATTTTTATGGGGGCTAGGATGAAATTTGAAAAAAAAGGCAGGAAAGGAGTTTTGAGTTAAAAAAAAAAAGGCAGGATGAGCAACTTCGCAAAAACAAAAAAAAAACAGGATGACAATTTATGTAAAAAAAGTAAGGATAAACTAATAAAAGAAAGGCAGGACAGAGATTACAACTAAAAAAAAATGCAAGACAAAATTTTTCATCCTAGCCCCCCATAAAAATCAAATGGTAACTCCCTTAGAAGATGTGTAATGATTGCCAATGAGACAACTCTCCAACCGAGACCAAATGATGTAGAAGTTCGCACCTATAAGTCACCTGTCGATACAGCCTTCAACAATGAGCAAAATCAATACCAGATAGCAAGCTATAAAAGGCCCTGAAATGACAAATAGTAACAATTCAAATGAGAAAACTAATGGCCTTTACGGATTGAACAAAACAAACGAAAAACAAATATGATATAGAGCAACAAATGTCAATCACTGAACTATAGGCTTTTGACTTGGGACAGGCACATACAGAATGTGGCAGGGCTAAAACATGTTTGCGGTCTCTCAACCCTCGCCCATCAGATCGATACATAGAACAAAAACAACTAACAACTAAAGGCTTGTATTGCTCACCTAGGCCTTTGTTCATCTCCAACAATGTACACTCTCCAACATTGTAGACAAGAATATAATTCATGACTGGTCATTTATGAATAACTCCTAGATTTTAAGACAAGTGACCTATTTGCAGAGCTTGATTTGCTTTAAAAATGTCTTTTTTATTTTATAATAGGCAAAAATGTCATTTAAGGGCATTAACTCCTATATAAAGTGTTGAACATCAACTTAATTGTAGATATTGCCTTGTGGATCATTTTTGCTATTTAAAGTTTCTCTCTATTATAGTTTCAAATCAATAGGCAATAACATAAAAAATATTGGTAAAAATCTTCATTTAAGGACAATAACTCCAATAAAGAATCAACTGACAATTTCAGCCATGTTTACGTATGTGTAGATATTGTCTTGCTGATCATATGTGCTATCTAAAATTTGTATCTATCTATTATAATTTTCAAAATAGTAGGCAAAAACGCAAATAATTAATAAAAATCGTCATTAAAGGGCAATAACTCTAATAAGAAGTCGTCTGACAGTGTTGATGTGACAGTATGGAGATCTCGACATTCTGAACATTTCTGCCCGTCAGGTTTTCTCTATGTCTAGTAGTTTTCAAGATAAGAGAAAATTTATGTTACATTTTTAGTCATGTTGGTTGGCAAGCAGGGGTCATCGGACACATTAAAAACTAAATATACCCAAATGATGATTGTGGTAGAGTTTGGTAAAATTTTGTCCAGCAATTTCAGAGAAGATTTTTGTAGACGTTAACAGACGACAAGTGATGAGAATAGTGCACTTGGCACACCAAAAATACACAGTTGAGATCTGAGAGTACTCGAAGTTACTAAAAGCTAATTCAAGGCCAATAATAATAAAACAATTATGTATATAAGACTCAAATATCAATAAGTACACATCCTTCATCCAATGGATTTAGTGTAAAGAGGACATTAAAAGTCGAGAGAGAAAAATGATATTGTGCAATGCCAAAACATAGGTATCAACAGAATGTAGGATAAAGTGTTGAATAATGTTTTTATCCCTGTGTCGGAATACTGCGAAGTTCACAAAAAGATATTTTATGTCCCTTGTATTTATCTTAAATAATATAAAACCTATTGAACTTTAATTTGTAGCCAAACATTCAAACCAATTAATTCACCCTTTGGTGGTGGGCAAGCATTTTATCATTAATATCCTTCAAAGCAATCAAACATTGTGACTGTGAGACAACTTTAGCGGTATTTGAAATTATGGTCGTGACCTTGACCTTGCAAATAACCATTCCAAACTTTATTTTATGCACTCCCTCTGGCATGGAAGGCATGAATCATACCAAGTAAAGGTCCCAAACTGATCTCATCTCATATCCTGCAAAGATTTCAAAAGTTCTGAGTGGGACTTCAATAGTTAAAAACTATTGCGACCTTGACCTTGCAGATAACTTTCTAACAACACACACCTGAGGTGATGGGCAACAATTATACCCAGTAAATTAATTTCCTTCAAGGCATTCTTAGTTCTAAACCAGTCACAACCTAGGCAGACAGACATGGCAATAATCCCATGTTGCCTGAGGTTGAGAAAATTTCTACAAAATTGAAGAATGATGAGGATAGACACAATGTGATGGAAATAAAAATCACCCGTCACATATCAAATATTCTCCCTAAGGTCTTTGGCATGATGGTACTTTAATGCTTTATTGCTTGAAATCTAAAATAACTTTCATACAGATTGCGTTATGGATTGTGATGCTGTAATTTCTAGAAACAAGAAGGTATTTCAAAATTCCCTGTTCACCTGAGTAAGCTATATGAATATTATGGGCAGAATAGTTGCATATCCCTTACAAAAGAAACCTCTTCCCCCTTCAATTGTCATCGAGAGTCAAATAAGACGAATTTTCTAAAATAAATTTTATTTACCAATCAATGTATTCATCAAATACCATTATAATGCATCACATTACACAATACCTAAATGAAACAAGACAATTTGCTTCAAAAGCAAAATCATTATAAATATTAAAGAAATAATTAATATATATATATCAATAATAACTTAATACTAAATGTATAAGAATTTATAGAATTCAACAACAAAAAACATGAATCCAGAGTTTGTCTTGTTCTTTTAAAAACAGCATTTCAAACAATATAAAAGAAATCTTAAACAAACAAAAATATTGTACAAGCTACAATAAAAAGGTAAAAACATACTAAATTTGTTTATTTGAGGTGTTTTTGACCCATTTCCTAGAGTGATTTAAATAAACTCCACTTCTAAATATGTGCAAAAAACTTATCACCTAGAAAATATAATTGCCTTTTATTTCTTCCATCTAAACCCCAAGTTTTGTTATTTTGCAAAGATTCTTAATCTTTTTGCACTTCTATCCTTTTCTAATACTAAATCTGATTGGGTATATTGTAGTACAGTTCAATTTACATATCTAATTGTAATAATTGAGCATTCTGCAGGGAACGAGTACTAAATTTTTTCTAAGGAAGGGAGATAACTTTAAAGTCAAATTTCTTCATTACGAAATGTATGAAAGAGAGCAATATTATCTGTTGGCTCATAATCTATTACTCCAATAATAATTACTGTAAAATCATAAATTATTGTGATGTTTTTATTAATGCGAAAAATGCAACAGTATGGTTCACAATAATAAACAGTCGCATTCATAATTTTAGTAGTAAATTTCCTTCATCAAATCTTTGCAATCGTAGTAATTAAATTTCACACCTTTGCCAGATGTCGAGAATTTACAATAATAAATGCACACATTAATTTCTGAATTTACAGTAAAAGAGTATTATTGGCCTTTTTTCAACACTTTCATATAATGAATTTTCATTTTAATTTGAATCTTCAATGCTGGCATCTGACAACTACAAGCAGTGAAACAAACTAAAAAATATGCAAACCATCTTATCATTCACATTATAAAATTATGATAGAAGCTGCTTAATTTTGCTTTCTTGTTTCACAAGTCCATTCATTTCAATTGGGACACTTAAAATTTGATTTTGACAACCCCCACCCCCCAAAAAAAATACAGAGTGCCATTTGATACTGAAGATAATCTATGACAACTAAATATGATAAGTATGAGGGTCTGGATGGGGTTAAAAGAATAGAGAATAAATCATTTAAGGATTATAGTAAAAACAAAACAACAATAGTTTATCGTATGGTTTGGATGATAATAGTAAAAACAAAATAAGTTTATCAGATGGTTTGGATGATAATAGTAAAAACAAAACAAGTTTATCATATGGTTTGGATGATAATAGTAAAAACAAAACAAGTTTATCAATAATGGTTTGGATGATAATAGTAAAAACAAAACAAGTTTATCATATGGTTTGGACGATAATAGTAAAAACAAAACAAAACAAGTTTATCATATGGCTTGGACGATAATAGTAAAAACAAAACAACACTAGTTTATCATATGGTTTGGATGATAATAGTAAAAACAAAACAACACTAGTTTATCATATGGTTTGCATGATTATTATCGTCCACAGGATTGACCCATAATTATTGTCCACAGGACTGACCACACACTAAGGCAGCAGCAGTTACACTTTTACCTGTAAAAGAATTTAAATAATATTTCATTCATTGACAATTCATAATAATTAAGTAATGTTAAAATATATGAATAAGGTAATGTTAAAGTCATGTTTTAGGGATTAAAATATTTGAGTGGCATTTTTTTTATTTAAATAGACAGATATTGTTGTATTAAAAAAAACTTGTTTTCTATTCAAATTTATTGATTACTACAAAAAATATTGCAATAGACATCATGCAGCTAAATTTATGATAAAATGGAAAGCCATCTTTATATACCAATTTTGATTTTTAAGGTGTTAAAATCACTATGACTGCTATCATATCTATCACACATAGTGTCAGATACATGCAGAAGCTATTAAGCTGTAATTTATTTTTAAATTGACATACTGGAATAATATTACTGTGGCTATTTCGTTTTTGCCTTATGAGTTTGAATATCTCTTTGGTATCTTTCCCTTCTCTTTGATAAACTTGCATTGTTTAGTTCATTATCATTGACATTTACTCAAAATATTTTCTCAATATATAAACAAAAGAAATGAATTCTTTGAAAATTTGTAATGAAAAAATACAAAACTGAATAATTCAAGCAAAGCTATTAAACATCTCATCTTTCTGACAGCCTTTTCATGACAAATAAATGGTAGATTACCTCCCTTACTTCAGTGAATACAATACTCTATTATCATAAAACCATTCTCTCATTCAGCATAGGCGGATCCAGGGGGGCTGGGGGCCCCGGCCCCCCTTTTGTAAGAAAAATTTGGTTGATAATATAGGGAATCACTGAAGCATGACTGGAGCGGCCCCCCCTTAGGTCAGTCAGTGGGCCCCCCCCCCCCCCCCATTATAAAAAGTTCTGGATCCACCACTGTTCAGTACATCACTTTAACAGAGTGAATAAGAGAAAGTAGTTGAAAAGGACTGTAATTACAATTACAGTTACAGCAGAAAATATAAAGATGAAATAAAGATTAAGAGACATTTTTTAACCATAACATCAATTAAAGTTTTATTCGAATTACAAATTTTCTATAGACTTGTAAGCAGACTTTGGCAAAACCATAAAATCAAATATACTCATACCTACCAAAATGTTAGCAGTATCAGATCTCCCAAGTTTTACTTCAACACCATGAATACATTACATCAACCTATAATCAAATAATAAAAAAAAAGGATTGTTTGAAATATTTCTTTTACAGATCAATCCAAGCATGTTAGATTTCTTTAACAATACAGCATATAAATAACACATAGCCATGAGAGTATAACATTTTCAACCAATGCAAATCCAAAGTTGACAGTGTTTTTTCAAGTGGTGACAATCTGCTTTATCAGCATCACAGCTATGTGTTATTCGAGTTATATATAAATGCTGAATTTCATGTTTTTTAATGTCTTTTAAATTTAGAATCAAATTGTCGATGGACAGTATTTGCTGTCTATTTTTCTGCACCAAAGGACATTAAAATAATTGTTATCCTGCTGAGCCATGTGCTGTTATGCAGAATGTCACGCTTACATTAACAAATGAAAACCTGGCCAATCATTATGCTTTATTTCTTTCAAAATTTTGTATTATCAACTTTCAATCTGTAAACTGGATACCAAATTTAGATGGATAAACTAATAACAAATGATTATGGTTTCAATGTTGAAAACAAATTTATGTTATGTAAAGATAAAATCAATGTCAATAATAGAAAAAGAATCCTCAAGAAAATAATTGTTTTAATGCCTTTACTATCAAGTTTGTGGAGTATTTAAACTTACCACAAATATTTCCTGGTAAAGCCTCAGAATTGGTTGAAGAATTGACAATCTTCCTTAGAGCTGCTATCCTGGCTGCCAAGATGGCTGTCATCATTGTATCAATGTAAGTGAATGAATGTCCTATTCTATGAGTTTTGTCAAAACCTTTAGACACTAGTTTATAAAAGTCTCATGTTATTTTTGTTTAAAGCAGTTTATTTAATCACTTGTCAATGTATTTGTTTTCCATTTATTTTTACAAAATACAGTTCATCAAAAATATCAGATGCCTGCACTTTCAACTGATCATTTTTTGAGAATATACTCAATAATAGTAGTGACCAAATAATTTCTCCCACAGTAAACAGTGATGGATTCAAGGGGGTTGGCATAGAGGATGTATGCCTGACTTTGATTGGAAAATACATCGTTTTTAAGTTTTATATCATCTGAAAAAATTTTCTTCATTTTGATGGAAATATGCCCTCCCTCTTTTCAAAAATCCAGGATCCTCCCCTGATAAAAATCTATTATTTAGAACTTTGTTTACATTTTTTTTTTATTTACAGAGCTCTAAATAATAGTCAATAAAATTAGCAAACATCTGATATGTAAAAAAAAAAACCTCACACATATATCATAAATTATGTTGATTAAAAAATGTCTAGTATATTGCTTACACTGAAGGATCTTCCAGTATGATTAGTTCAACAGTATTATTACCTCCCCTTTCCCCAAATTTGACCCTAATTGGGACTTCATTACAACTGGGCAGAATACCTCAAGTGATAGGCTTTCGTTTGACACATGTTTGCAATGGAAAGTAAATAAATATAAAAAAAATTTGCTATATGTTACATCTTAAATTTATCATCAATATTGCAAAATTAATCAAAAAGAATTTTAATTTCCATTTAAAAAAATATAAATAATTTTTTGAAGGATTAAACACAATTTTTCACCCTTGCTGTCTTGTAACAAAAAAAAAAAATTTAATGGAATAAGAATATGATTTTTTTTTTAAATCAACAAATTTCAATATAACATTTAGTACCGTAGAAAGGCTTGTATAGTCCGCGGTTTTATTCTCCAAAATTGGACCTTCCAGACGGGGTGCGGACTATAGAGTACAATAAGCAAGAAATAAGAGAAAAATTTCAATTTCGCGGGCGAGGTGGTTTGTTTACGTTCCGCCATCTTTGTTATTTATATTGTAGAGGGCGCTCTTATCATTTTTCAAACTAATAATTTTAACTCATCCATATTAATAAGTTATTTCTATTCAATATCAAATTAATACTGATAAATATAAAAACTAAACCTTTCATTACAAATTTCTCGTTTCTTTTCAATGCATTGGTTGAAATAAACTGGTATCTGCTTGATTGAAACGATACAAACATAGTGAAAAAGACAACCGTAAACCAGCTTAGAATTTGTAAACTACAAAACGTAATCGGTTATTGTTCATTCCGTTTTGGTGTTTCATACTGACTAATATGGTTTGTATTAGCTTAAGACGCTTCAAACATTAATGTGATAGATATATTAAAGACTGTTTTACAAAAGGATGGAACTGTTTTACTTTCAAAGTCGTATTATAGTGATATCTGTTATGTACGGATTTCGACTCTCACCGGTTAATTTCTTCTTTTACACGTGCTTTTTAAACTTCCTGTTTAAACATACACAAGTTTCTAAATTGTTTTTTAAGTGAATTAAACTTATTTTAACAATAATGAAGCGTTCTAGAATCATTTACAAGCAGTTTCAGCTTCTGTTTGATGATGGAAAAAAGGTTTTTCCAAGAAAATACCGCAAACGAAAACGCACAGGATTTGAAATTACCGGAGTTTCATTAGACCTTTTCTAACAGTTACAAAAAGTTTTTTTACCTAAAATTTCGTGGGGAGAAGGGGGTGCGGACTATGTACCAGTGCAAACTATACAAGCCTTTCAACGGTACTCTTTCATTGTCACCCTAGATGTTCTTTAACTATGCTTCTTGTGAAATAAATTGAAATATTTTACAAAAGTTTTTTTTTTTTCTTTTTTTTTAGATCCTCCATTCTAAACCACTAGAAGTGTTAATACTCCCTCTGAGGTTTGTAAGTATAAAAAGATCTAGCCATTTTATGCAAGGGATAAAAAGAAATTTTCCTAAATTTAAATTTTAAGATCATTAGAAATTCAAACTTCCATTCTTGTAGAAAATGGAGAATCTTACAATTTGTTTTCTTAAAACATATTTAACATTTTTCAATTGCTTTTTTTTTTCTTTTTACAGAATAGATCACACAATTATTTCATGCAGCCACAGTAATGGCATCCTGAAAATGAAATAAGACACTTTTTAATTAATTTGTCATAAAATATAAAAGAACTGAAAAAATATTTACTCAAAAATAATAATGACGTAGGAATTACAATTATAATTTTTCATAGTAATGCATTAGTGGTAAATTTTAAACTTTTAAACTACACAAATTTTAAGCAAGAATGAGTAGTGTTTAAATCTTACCTTAAAAGTCTGCTCCAATTGCCATTTCCAGTCTCAATCCTTATGGACAAACTGAATGCTAACCTGGAAAACGTAATGATTAAAAAAATGTTTAGATTAGAATTACTGTTGGAAAATTAAATGTATATATAGATATAGGTTATACATGACTAAAGTAAAAGGATGTTAGTATTATTCAGTCCAAAAATCTTCCTTGCCTATCAATTCTGCACTTTAAAATATGTCTCCTCACAACGTAGAAAACACTTCAGTCCCTTTAGCGCTGAGGGAAATACATTATTTTGCCTTTGGTTTAATGCAGAGTGCTTGAAGTGTCTAGTAATAAAAAATAATGGTTGCACACATGATTCAATCAGGATAAGTCATACTTTTAATTCTGAATATCATGTTATCTTTTAAACTGGCTGCATCCATAATATTTAATGGTTTGTTGTAACCTATAACGATGTTGATTATATATTTTTTTCAATCCTCAGGGCACATTATTTTCCTGATATTTTTTTAATTTATTATGAAAATATTTGTTTCAAATAAAGAAATTATAAACCTACTTATATCTTTGCTGTATAAAGCCACCGAGTCTTACTCCCATGAAACTTGTCTCAGAAATAACCTAAAAGGAATAACAAGAGTGCACACGCTGAAATGTCTCGCCTTCTTTACTAACCATTGATTTTATGTTGATAGTCCTAAATACAAAGCTTTACTACAAGTAACACATAAACTTAACATGATCCAAGAAAATGAGGTCAAGGTCAGATAAACCAAACGAGAAATACATGTACACCTTACAATCATTCAATAAACCAAACATAGTTGACCTATTGCTTATTGTTTCTAAGAAACAGTCTTAAACAAGAAATCTTAACATTGACCAATGAACCATGAAAATGAGGTCAAGGTCAGATGAACCATGCCAGACAGACATGTACACCTTACAATCAATTTAGGCATTAAATATAGTTGACCTATTGCTTATAGTATCTAAGAAACAAACTTAACCATGAAAACTTAACATTGACCAATGAACCATGAAAATGAGGTCAAGGTCAGATGATACCTGCCAGACAGACATATACACCTTACAATCCTTCCATACATCAAATATAGTTGATCTATTGCTTATAGTTGAAGAAAAACAGACCAAAACACAAAAACTTAACACTGAGAAATGAACCGTGAAAATGAGGTCAAGGTCAAATAAAACCTGTGAGACTGACATGTACATCATAAAATATTTCCATACACCATTTATAGTTGACCTTTTGCAAATAGTATTAGAAAAAAAGACCAAAACTCAAAAACTTAACTTTGACCACTGAACCATGAAAATGAGGTCAAGGTCAGATTACACCTACCAGTTGGACATGTACACCTTACAATCATTCCATATACCAAATATAGTAGACCTACTGCTTATAGTATCTGATATATGGACTTGACCACGAAAACTTAACTTTGTTCACCGATCCATGAAATGAGGTCGAGGTCAAATGAAAATTGTCTGATGGGCATGAGGACCTTACAAGGTACGCACATACTAAATATAGTTATCCTATTACTCATAATAAGAAAGAAATTAACATTACAAAAAATGATGACTTTTTTTTTCAAGTATTGACTGAACCATGAAAATGAGGTCAAGGACAATGGACATATGGCAGACAGAAACTTCATAACATAAGGCATCTATATACAAAGTATGAAGCATCCAGGTCTTCTAGCTTCTAAAATATAAAGCTTTCAAGAAGTTAGCTAACGCCGCCGCCGCCGGATCACTATACCTATGTCGAGCTTTCTGCGACAAAATTCGCAGGCTCGACAAAAATTGACATAAATTATATATTTTTACAATTCAGTATGACTGTCATCCTAAAATTTTATCAAAGTTATTCTGTTTCTTACTACCCAATTATATAGCATCAATCCTGTCTGTGTAAAGAATTTAAGAGTTAGAAAAAGGTTTGATCTTATTCCATCTGCACAAAAATTGTCTGAGTAATCTCCCATTGAATAAAACATTATTGTTTGTTTGTTGCACTTGTCTCCCTTTAAAGATAAAATAAACTTTTGTAAGTGAAAAAGATAATTACAAGAATAATATTGTATGTTGTCTTGTGTACTTTTATGTACATGTAAATTGACAGGATGTAAAGATAATGTATGGCTTAAATAACTTGCCTGATTTCTTTCATTGTAAATCCTCCGACTTGGTTAAAGATCTATGTAACCATCTTCCTTGGAGCTGATATCCTGGCTGCCTTCAATGGCGTTTATGCTATTTGACTCCACTAAAGTCCATTTGAATAACTGAAATGTCTACTTCATTCACAACATTTAATAATATACAGTTTGTCACGAAAATATTTATTTTTCTCACATTACTTTCTTTTTTCCAATCATGATGATTTTATTATACTTTGATGTATTAAGTACCAGAGATGAGCTTTTAAACAGAACTTATATTTTGAAATTTTACCAAAAGTTTAGTTGTAACCCGCAATTTTTTTCCACCCTTTAAAACACTGTTATATAGATCTCTGCTTACAGTTTTTTTTTACAACCCTCCATACAATAGTAATAGACTTGTTAGCAGACATCTGATATATAAATACTTATACACATAAAATAAACATAATTAAACAAGTAAAACTGTGAGCTACTGCTCACTAATGATACCCCCGCCGAAATATTTCGGTAAACAGGAAGTTGATGAGTGATGAATCTGAAAACGCATCACACGGTATAGCTGACTTATATAAACCCTGAAACCAAATTTCAGAAATCCTTGTCAAGTAGTTCCTGAGAAAAATGTGACAAAAATATTCATGGGACGGACGGACTGATCGACAGACTGACGGAAGGACAGACAGAGGTAAAACAGTATACCCCCACTTTTTTAAAGCGGGGGTATAAAAATGTCTAGTTATTGCCCAATACTAAAGGAACTTCCAAAATGAGGAGTAAAACAGGGGTATTACCTCCCCTTGCCCAAAATGTCAGCCTGTTAGGACTCCACATCCATCACAACTGAAGCACAGTACCTACAATGATAGACTTTTGTATGATACATTTATTTAGTAACATGTCTGTGATGGTACGAAATTTAAAATCAATTTATTTATCAACAGTCCCTTTCTAAATGTATCTTTCATATATATACAAGACTAGACAAAAAATGTACAGCAAATTAATTGTTGAAATAATTCAACCATTTCTTCAATTTCAAAGCATAGTTAAATAGAAAATCTTTCTTTCAGGCCAACTCCCAGTGATTTATGAAAACTATATTTCAATATGAAATTGCACTGAATACTCATGGTATAGCATTGGGGGCCCGAGGGGATGTTTTGGGGGTTGGAACCCCACATTTCTTTAAATTTATTTATTTTTATTCTTTCAATCATATGAATGTTTCATGGTGTTCCAAGGGTTGGAAGGTCAGACACATCCTTGGCTTTCAAATATTTGCCATTGAGCGTTTCTGATGAAGGAAAATCCAGAAAAGCGCTTCGGACGCATGAAATTTTTGGCTTGTTGTTTTTCATTTTTTATAGTTAAAAGACAAAACTATAACTCATATAAACAAATGAAATTGAATAATATTCTTTAATCATCAATGTAAATTCAAAAATCAAATTGCACATGACAGTTGTATAAAGGAGTTGGCTGATAAGGGCCCTTTTTTTGGCCCCAAAAGTCCACTATTTCAAGATGAACAAGAATGTGTCCATAGTACACGGATACCCCACTTGCACTATCATTTTCTATGTTCACTGGACAATGAAATTGGGGTCAAAACTCTAATTTGGCTTAAAAATTAAAAATATCATATTATAAGGAACATGTGTACTAAGTTTCAAGTCGATTGGACTTCAACTTCATCAAAAACTACCTTGACTAAAAACTTTAATCCAAAGCTGGACAGACGGACAAACAGACAAGAGACAATAGTTGGAAGTTCTCATTGGATATACACCATTTACTGCATACCTTTGCCAAAATACATCACTTTGTTTTGGAGAAGTTCTGACCCCTTCTCAAGCTTAAAAATTTTCTAATTGTTGAAGGACTTGTCTATGAACTTGATTATGAAAAACAGCAATACAATTAGGGCTATTTTCCTAATGCTTGTTGTTTAAAGGTTTGGTTGTCTTGCTTGCTTCATTTGTATAAATGTTTGCTCAAGCATTGTAATTAAGATTGACATCTGCAATCAATAGATAGGTGGGGCTTCAGCCTGTATACATTATACTCATACTTAAATGTTAGTGGATGTTGAGTATAATGCAGAGTATAATGTATACAAGCTGAAGCCCCACCTATCTATTGATTGCAGATGTCAATCTTAACTACAATGCTCAAGCAAACATTTATACAAGCAAAGCAAGCCAGCCAACCAAACCTTAAAACTACAAGCATTAGGAAAAAAGCTCCAAAGTCAGAAAGAAACAATCAATTAAACATTCTACTTGCCTATATTTCTTCCAAATCTTTTACTTTCCGCTGGTTTTTCTGCCATCCTTGGTATACTTGGAAATAAAAAGAAAGTTATTATTATTCAGAATCTACAGAGATCACAACATTTTTATACATAATTTACCAAAACATCCACCATAGAGACAATGGTTGGAAGTTCTCATTGGATATACACAATTAACTGAATACCTTAGCCAAAATACATCACTTTGTTTGGAGAAGTTCTGACCCCTTCTCAAGCTTAAACATTTTCTAATTGTTGAAGGACTTGTCTGTGAACTTGATTATGAAAAACAGCAATACAATTAGGGCTATTTTCCTAATGCTTGTTGTATTAAGGTTTGGTTGGCTTGCTTGCTTCATTTGTATAAATGTTTGCTCAAGCAATGTAATTAAGATTGACATCTGCAATCAATAGATAGGTGGGGCTTCAGCCTGTATACATTATACTCATACTTAAATGTTAGTGGATGTTAAGTATAATGCAGAGTATAATGTATACAAGCAGAAGCCCCGCCTATCTATTGATTGCAGATGTCAATCTTAACTACAATGCTTGAGCAAACATTTATACTAGCAAAGCAAGCAAGCCAACCAAACCTTAAAACTACAAGCATTAGGAAAAAAGCTCTAAAAAACAAAAAACAATCAATCAATTAAACATTCTACTTGCCTATATTTCTTCCAAATCTTTCACTTTCCGCTGGTTTTTCTGCCATCCTTGGTATACTTGGAAATAAAAAGAAAGTTATTATTATTCAGAATCTACAGAGATCACAACATTTTTATACATAATTTACGTAAAAAATCCACCATAGAGACAATAGTTGGAAGTTCTCATTGGATATACACAATTAACTGAATACCTTAGCCAAAATACATCACTTTATTTGGAGAAGTTCTGACCCCTTCTCAAGCTTAAACATTTTCTAATTGTTGAAGGACTTGTCTATGAATTTGATTATGAAAAACAGCAATACAACTAGGGCTATTTTCCTAATGCTTGTTGTTTAAAGGTTTGGTTGGCTTGCTTGCTTCATTTGTATAAATGTTTGCTCAAGCATTGTAATTAAGATTGACATCTGCAATCA